TCTCATCTTTTTCTTACAGATTCAGCTGCATATATGAAAAAGTGTTATTGTGAAGTTTTACATCCTATAATGCCACAATTAATTCATATTCCATGCTGTGCACACATTTTAAATTTGATTGGGTAAGATTAAGATAACTTTATTATTATATACTGTCTGTATACAAGTTATTAAAATATAATAAATTAATTTTTATTTAGTGATACTTGGCGTGTGTTTAATCATTTTTCAGTAATTAAAACATTATTAGAAAAAGTCAAAGAAAAATTCACTAGAAGTCCAGCACGTCGTCGTCGGTATATGGATCATTTACAGTTTCATAGAGTTAATCAACCACAAAAAATTCCTCTTCCTTGCAAAACAAGATGGAATTCTTGGTTTCAAATGGTTAATTATACAAAGGATCATCTTATATATTGGCCTGGATTTTTTCAAGCTGAGGTTGAACTTGATGAAACTGAAACATTAAAAACTATTATATCCCTCCTTTCACAACAATTTGGACTCATTACAATCTATATCAATTTTATTTCTATTTTTTCTAAGGATACCGGCTGCAACTTTTGATGATGGTTGCTACCATCTTTGTGTCATATAAAAATGATTGCAACCACCTTTACAACCATTTTGTTTCCTTTTTTGGATTGCGACATGGAACACTAATTTTTTCTCATCAATTTATTCAAACATTAAATTTTTTTCAACAAGAAAAACCAGTATTTCCTTTTATTGAAAGTCAACTACAAAATCTCTCTGCATATATAGAAAGTAACATGGTTGCAACAAACTTTTTTAATTTGGATTCAATAATTACTAATTATCATTTTCGCCCAGATGAGTTTTATCCTATTTTCCAACAAGCATTTAGAGTGGCTCACCAAAAGTTTGCAGCACATATTCCCTCTCATCCTGGACGTCCTCTTTTTCATGCATGTCAAATTTTTGATCCAAAATTTTATTCGATTTATTGATTTAACACAAAGAGATATACGTCAATACAATATCATTAAAGAATTCAATAATCCATCTAATGATTTATTAGATGAATGGGCAATTTATTGCGGATCCACATTTAATATAGAAGTTTCATTAGCATTAGATAAATATTGGTCAAATATGGCCGAACATTTGCCCCTTTTATCTCAAATAGCATTTGAATATATTTGGTTACCAATTTCTTCTTGTAGTGTAGAACGAAGCTTTTCCAAATATAATTCAATTTTAGATGATAATTGACAAAATTTATCTGAAGAGTCTTTACAAAGCTTAAATATGCTTTATTTTAATGGTAGTATATTTTAAATATTAAAGAAAAAATAACAATAAATAAATAACAAATGTTCGCATAACTATTCTTTCTGATTGCACACCACCAAATCATTTAAGGGTAGAGTTTGGTTACACAGTATGTCAGATAGAAATGGATGGCAAAATGTGTCGATCATTGAAACAAAAATACGGCACAACCATGATTTAACATTCAACACTTTTAATACATTTAATATAGCAACAAATATAATTTATTCAGATATGTGACCATTTGTTATTACAATTTGTCATTAGAAAACAGATATAATAGATATATTACATTGATCTGTTGATAATTATTTATATTTATACCCTTTAGCAGAAACAGCCAAGCATTGTAGTTGTCCAAGTTTAATGATATTTTTACTTTTTCCATGATCTATATTTTACTATTTCAGAATAATTAATAAGTAATTTTATATACAATTGACAAATTAATAATAAAGTAATAGTAATACTTCTCTTATTTTTACATTTTACAAATCACATATAAATATTTGATATGTCCAAGCTTTTTTACAGGATCTTGAGCTTAGGCGAATGAATTAATGAATGAAAGCCAACAAGTGAGTGGTGGCATTCTCAACCTTCAACCATAAATTACCAATCTAATTTTATTGTTGGATAAATTGTGAATTAAAAAATTAATAATACATTACAAAATGTAAAATAATGGAGAATAACTACTTGAATGTATCACCATTCCAAAAAAACGTTTCTTATTAAATTGTTTTCTCATGTAAAGAATTTGTAATTGGTGTTAAAAGCTAGTAATGATTCATGCCAAGGTAGTCTCGTTTCTATTTATTACTATACATACATACATACATACATACATACATACATATATATATATATATAATATAAAAATGAAATATTATTAGTAACAACCTTGTCTTCTTATAGAATTCTAATTTTTTTTTATAAATCAATAGCTATTAAGGTTAACTTGAAGACTGTTCATTTAGTTTTCCTTACTTTAACAAAAACATATAGTAGAGGACAAGAATTTGTAACTTTACTTATAGAATTCGTAACATATGTTGAACTTCACATTACCTTTTTAGTAAAGCTTTATTAACAAATGTTATTAAAAGCACATTGTTCAATAGTTTTAATCCCAGAGAGTATATATACAAAGTTTCATTTAAGTTTCGCAATTTTACAAAAAAGTTTAAAAATTGTGGTCGTGTGATTTTTTTGCCATATGATATATTGTGTAACAGAACTCTACCCTTAAAGCATAGTGGAAATTTGAAATGTTACACTAATTTTTTATATTGTGCAACATAGCTTTACAATACACGGCAAGCATTCTGGCAATAAAAAGTAAGTGATAAACTGGATTTGAATTGGATCTGAACTTGATCTCCAATTTAGAGAGGTAATAATTATATACTAGCGAAGTTTCAGAAGCAATGAGTTCTGTATAACGTTTCGTGTAACAACAAACTTCCACTATGCTAGCCTAATGTCTAAAGGTAAAACTCATACATAGTGCCGAAATTGCCGAAATTGCCCAAACTATATTTTTAATGATTTAATCATAGTTTCAGCTAGGGTTTCTATCCGAATAAGATTTGCTCGGATTATTTGTTTTATTCGTTATAAATTGAGTATTCGAATTACATCCATATAAAAAATTATTAACGGGAAGATGTACTAGTACGGAAAAACAGTACATGGACCGTATTTATATTTAGCATTAGTATTAGCATTTTTTTACGGAAAAGGTACGGTGCGGAATCTTCCTGTGAATTCATACGGTAGGTACGGGATAGATACGAAACACACACGGAATACACACAAAATTTACAGAAAACTAATTATAATACTAATATTCGTTTTTCCCGTACGTCTCCCACACAAATTTCACATTAGTATTAGCACATCACGTAATTCATATGGGAAACGTACCAGTATTACATCTACTAAATTATTTTTTTCCATAATCTTCAAATTGTATTCTGGTGTTGAATTAATTAAAGACTGCAACCATTACAACTGATCTTTGAACCTTTAGATCAAAGGGGTTATATCGGAGCAACATGTCATTGGCTTTCACCAAATTTGAACCAATTGATATATTGCTTACTATAAAAAGGATTCCGTATCCACATACAAATGAAAAATTCGATAGAAGAATTCAAATTGTCAAATAAAATAATTCGTAGAGTAACGGATAATGGTAGTAATATGTGAAAAGCATTTGACACATGGGAAGGAGTTGAAAGTCTCTCATGTGTTACAAATACTCTCCAACTTTCCATAAGTAAAGCTCTTATAACAATAAAACCATGTTAAAAGATTCAAAAGATTGGTAAAACCTTTCCACCTCACAAAAGATTTGATAAGGCGCAAATTGAAGTTGCAACAAAAAGATAAGTAATGTTTTATTATTTTGATTAACTAAAAGAAAAATACTATTCTCTGGGTATGTTTTTCACTATAATATTATTACTATTGCTAATATTAGTATCTTGTTCATCTTCTATATCATCATTATCGTCCTCTACATCTTTCTTATCAACCCATTCCTGGATATAGGATTCATTCTTCATTGATGGAAACTTTTGCAACTGGAGCAGCAGTTTCATTTCCTTCTCTAAACAATTCGTAGATTTCAATTGCCATTTCGCTGAATGAAAAACTGGATCCAACTCCATCTTTTATCAAACAATACAATTGTTTGAAATCTTTCCATAGTTTTTCCTTTGAGTATTCCTTATCGCTGGTGAATTTGTTTCCTGGCTCTATATTATTGATATCATAGAATTTGCTTTTGTAAGTTTATAGTGAAGCAAGAAATCCAGACAACAATCTGCAAAAAAGTTCACTGTTGAATGTAAACATTTTTTTATTAAATTATCATTGGTGAGAAAATATTGCAAATATTTCATTATTATTCAATTCATTATAAAATAAAATTGTGTTGGCAGTGATTATTGAAGGATTTATAGTTGATTTTTTTTGGCCTGAAAGTGAGTGAGTTGGTGATGTTCTTATAATAGCTTTTATGTTCATGAAAAACAGGATTATGACAAACGGACATACCATCATGATTGATTTTTCTATCAAACTCAGGATCAATTATGGTACTTGCTTACATCATTTCTGATGCAATAAAGTAAATCTTGAAAGAAAAGATTTGGTAAAGAAAGAAAGGTTTATTTTAAAAAATATAATTCTTTAGAATGTAGTGTAATGCATATGAAATTTTTGTTTCAAGTATATTTTTCTTTATGGTGTATGTAATAATCAAGTTGGGACATGTGCAGATAATCAATTAATACTATATGGAGGAATAATTAAAAAAAAGCATGCAATTTGATCCTTGAAATTTCTTTGTGACATAATGTTCACTTTATTGCAGCATGCCTTTACTTTTTCAAGTGTGTATAGTTCCAAGCTAAAAATGTTCTTCATGATGAGTTACACAGGAGTATTATTAACCCAAAATTGACTTTTGAGCAACATTCCTTGTTTCTATTAACAGGCCCATATGTGCAAATATAAATATAATTAGCATTAATTTTTAAACTTAATATTAATCTTGTATTTATTTCTAACTGGAGATTTTTTTTTATAAAGAACCTATAAAGAACCAATAAAAGATGAAATAAAAATACATTTTAACACAACAATAATTGATTTTATTATATATATGCTGTCTAGTAGAAAATTCCAGATACTTAGATATCTAATAAAAGATCACCGGTGTTGTTGCTGTCATCATTATTACTTTCTTCGTGAGGTTTTAAAACAATTTTGTATGAAGAGATTCTATTTTCTTGTTCAGGATTATGCGTGATCCAAATACAAGAATGATTTTTGAGTGTTTCCTCCACCAATAAACAAGAGTTTTGATCAAGTGCCGAGGTTGGCTCTTATTGATTTAAATTAAAGGTAATAATTTTTTTATTATTATTGTCATAAATATGATAATAATATTAATAATTTTGCAAAAAAAAAAAAAAAAAGCTTTTTTTTACCATCAAGAAGTAAAACTTCAGGGTTACAGGATAATGCAATTGCAAGTGATATACGTTGAATTTCACCACCTGATAATTGATTCCAATCACTTTCCCACAATGCTTCTTTAATATCCCACCTAAACATTATTTTATAATATCAGCCAAAAAAAAAGATTATAATTTATTATAATATTTCAATAAATGCCATAAATTGTTATAACGATTTATTACCTTGAAGATATTTCAATCTAATTAATTTTTAATTAATCCAGATGAATAAATAAATAAAAAAGAAATTTAATAACCAATAACGTCATTTAATATCACTAATTTTTTATAAAAAACATACAGGGTCATTATGTAAATGCGCGATTTTCTGTTGTGCTTTAAAAGATCTTATCTTCTTAAGATAATCCAAAGGAGTGCCAGGAATTATCGCTATATTTAATTCATATGTTATATTAAAAATAATATTATATTTTTTTCTTTATTATTGAAAAAATTTAGTTGAATACAAACGAGGTCTTTGTGGAACATAAAGAACACGAGTTCTCCAAATAGGAATGCTAACATCTTCTGGTGCCCTATATAATAAAATAGAAATAAATTCAAACAATATGTTAACAATCAATATTTTCATTAAAAAAAAAATTAGAATTACTTGTCATCAATGAAAACATGGCCATCATCATATACTATTAATTGTGAAAGACATTTCAATAATGTTGTCTTGCTAGCTAATTTTCAAACAAACAACGTTAATAAAAAAGATAAGATTATTTATTTAATATTCATTTTTATTCATTTATTATATTGACCCAACGCCACTTGGTCCAGTAATAGTTACTATCTCCTTATCAAAAAGAGTAAATGAAATGTCTTTAAACAAATAGCTTCCATCTGGTTTCTTCTTTGAAAGATTTTCAACTTTAAATCTCATGATGATTATAATTATTTTTTTAAAACAATTTTTTTCAGATATCAGTGTAACGTCTACACATTTTGCTTTGTGTATAAATGCCCATTCATTACTGTTATTTTATTATTCTCATTGGATACCAAAAACGGTAAAGTGATCATGATTTTCTTTAAATTCATTGGTCAAACAACTTTCACGTGATATTCTTCCGTATCAAAGCGTGTATAAATTGACCAAATTGATCACAATTTAAATTTTTTGCAGGTAAAAAAATATAAATAATAAATACCATGAAAAAAAAAAAAATTAAATTATTTTCTTTATTAATTATTATCATCAATGCCACGAATAGATACTACTATTGTTACTAGCAGTAATAATAATCATCATAATGTCATTGAAAATGAACCAATACCTTTAAAAGTGCTTGCTATTGGTTCTGCATACGAAGATACTATATTGTATGTTGATAAGTTTCCTCCTGAGTATGGTAAACAAAGAGCTCAAAGAGTTGAAAGAAGAAGAGGTGGGAATGCTGGTAACACCTTAACTGTTTTATCACAACTCCCTTTAACAACATGTCATTTTATGGCCTCTATGGCTTCAAAAGAAGCCTCAATGTAAGTTCTGTATACACATTAATTTTTTTTTTACAGTACAATAGGTTGAAATTTTCTAACTATTAACTTATAGATTTTTAATACAGGATTTTAAAGTTCATGATATAAACACTTCGGCATGTATATTCAGATCTAATGCAACTCATGCTCCGGTAGCATATACAATGCATGCTGACAATACAGTTCAAGAACGATTATAAATTATAATAGGTATTTTTTTTTTTCATAATTTCATGAAATAAATCAAAAATTCAATTTCTTCATTAATGGCATTCATTTATTAATTTTCTATTCTCCCGAAATGTAAAATAGCATAGATGAATTAGCATTTGATGAATTCAAAAATAAATTTGATTTAATTTGTGCTGAAGAAACAATATTCAACATGTCAAATTATAATTATGAGGTAGAAGATGAAGATGGAGCACCTTTTAATTGGATTCATTTTGAAGGAAGAAATGCACAAGAAGTATCAAAAATGATTGATTATATTGACAGTAAGGATTGGAGGTCAAGGGCAATTGTTAGTGTCGAATTAGAGAAACCTTACCGTAAAGGCTTGGAAATTTTGATGAATAAATCAGATGTTTTATTTTTCTCAAAAGTATTTGCTGAAGGCAAAGGCTATATTAATCCTAATGATTTCTTACAAATAATATTAAATTGACTATCAACTCCAAAAGGGTTTAGTTAAATTATTAATATCTTTTTCTATTTTTTTTTTTTCTAAAAATAATTAGTGCATATCTTTTTTGTACTTGGGGAAGTTTAGGAGCCACATGTTATCATATTACAACATGTAAAACTTTATTCTGCATCTGCTCATAGAATACTCAATATTGTTGATTCTATAGGTGCTGGTGATACTTTTAATGCTTGAATCATATATGGGTTGTCTCGAAAAATGCCAATTTGATGAATGTTTAACATTTGCATGCGAGTTAGCAGGTCGTAAATATGCCCAAATTGGGTTTAATGGTGTAACAGAGGCAATAAGATGCGTTTAAATATTTATATTCGATTTTTTATTTTATTAATTAACTGTATTTTATTTTAAATTTGTACATTATTATTTACTACTAATTAATTAATAATTGCATCACTCTTAACAACATTCTTTTATTATTTAATAATTTAATTGATGTTTCTATTACTATACAATATAACTTACCAAATAGAATTAACTAATAAACGATTTTCAAGTATATTAATATTAAGGGTGTGTCAATTTATATGTAGATCGGCGGCTCAAAAATCTGAGTTATACAAGTTACATAATAATAAAATTATGCAAAACGCGTCAAAATTTTTTTATACGTATGTAGTAGATTATAAACCCCTTTAAAATTTCAAACAAAATAATTTAGTAAAAACTTTTAATTTTCAAATTCATAATAAATAATCTAAATTTCTTACACTTGTTATTATTTTTTTGGTCTTTATACTAGATTTAACAATACCTTCCTTCTTTTTTTTTTAAACTATTTACCATATTATTATAGAATTTAATTACAGACACTTGTATTTTATTTTATTATTATTTTAATTTACTTTTACGGTTTTCCAACTACACACATAATTTCATTGTAAGTGAACAACTGACAAATTAAATTCATTCAAATCTTGAAAACTATTTGTAGCAGTCGTATATATTTGCGGCAGTCGCGACAGCCGTAATTATTTACGGCAAATGGTAGTTACCAGCCTATTCCGGCACATATTTGGGATACTACTAAAGATGGGATATTTAAACAACATAATTCGATTGTCAAGAATTCGTGAAAAATAAATAAATAATAATAACTTTAATTATTACAACTTTTGTACAAAAATTTAAAATAGTTATAATAATGTTATATAAACAAAAAAAAATTTATTTTTATTATTTGTTTTTAAATTTCATCATCATCATCATCACCATCATCGTCGCCACCATCATCGTCATAATGTTGTTCATATTCTGATCCATACTCTGATAATTCTTCATCAGGTTCTGATGTTTCTTCTTCTACATCATCATCGTCATCATTACCATCATCGTCATCATAATTGTCAACATCGTCATCATCATCATCTACATCATCGTCATCATCAACAATTTCTTCATGTATCTCATTATTTTCTTGTGATTCATCATCATCATTTTCTGGTGGTTCTTCATCATTTCCAATTGTATCTTCATCCTCTATATTCATTTCATCATCGCCATCATCATCATAATTTTTAATTTCATCATCTCCTTTATTATCTACATGCTCTTCATTCACAACATCATTTTGTTTTGCCAAGCCCGCCACCAAGTCCATTAATGTTTCCAACTCTCCTTTTTGTTCACATAATTGCCTAAACACACTGTTTGGATTATTCAAAAGTTGATCTGGTGTATCAAATTCGACCACTCTACCTTCGTCTAATAGAAGAGAACAAAATTAAAAAAAACAAACAAACTAAAAAAAATGAATAAAATAATAATTTAATTAAAATAACTTACCAAGGACAAAAATTTTGTCAAAATTTATTATGTTTTTATATTGGTTTGATACACATAACACTGTATTATATTTAAATTCATTTTGAATAATTTTTTGAATTTTATCATCTGTATCGGGGTCAACGTTTGCAGTTGCTTTAATTATAATAAAAAGAATTTTTTGTTTTAACATTTAAAATTTACTATTGTTTAAATATGAATATATATAACAATCTAAAATAATAATACCTTCATCCAATATTATTATCTTTATTATAAAATAAAGATATGATTTGATTTGATTTGATTAAAATATAAATTAAAATATTTGAGAAATTTAAATTAGAAAAAGTTTATACCTTTGATCTACGAAGTAATGCTCTAGCAAAACAAATAAGTTGTCGCTGTCCTTTAGAAAACGTGCTGCCTCCATCAATCACAGGATCTTCTAAACTTGTAATAGGACCAATATTCAAAAGTGGATTGCTTGTTGAATCACTTTCAATTTGAGACAGATGTACCCTTTTTAAAACATCCCACAATTCATAATCATCATTATAAACTTCACCAATGTCAAGATTTGAACGAATTGTTCCCTCAAAAAGAACTGGATCTAAAACCAATTGATTTGATATTATATTATTATCATCATCCATTGATTTAATTAATTTTACACAATTAACGATATAGTAAGCAAGCAAGTACCTTTCGATATAATTGTTAGCTGTGTTCTCAAACCCTTTGAGCCAATATTTGCAATGTTAATACCGTCAATAATTATGCTACCGTCAACGGTATCTGTAAGTCTAAGAAATGAATTGACTAGAGTAGTTTTACCAGAATTCGGCCTGCAATATTTTTTTAAAAAAATAACATCAATCAATAAAAAAAAATTAATGTGTATACAGAACTTACATTGAGGCTTCTTTTGAAGCCATAGAGGCCATAAAATGACATGTTG